ACTCACGACCCACGACCCACGACCCACGACCCACGACCCACGACCCACGACCCACGACCCACGACCCACGACCCACGACCCACGACCCACGACCCACGACCCACGACCCACGACCCACGACCCACGACCCACGACCCACGACCATTAGTCAAACTCGTTCTAAACAAATAAAGTAAGACATTAGGTCATCTTTTGTCGCTAGAAACTTGTCAAGCTTAGAAAAAGTAAAAATATTAATTCGACGTGGTTGTCTCCAGTTTCGCGTGTACATTGGATATTGATGCGTGGAAAGGTCAAATACTTTCACGTGACTGAGTTTAGCAAAGGAGTACGGGGGATCCTCTCATCCGCTGGATAGCTATTTATAAGTTGGATAACGGTATTCGCCCTTTATAGAACTGGGCCCAGATTGTCTGGAACTGATATGTTTTAACGTCGACGGAATTACCCTAAATGAAAGGAACCATGCCGTAAATGAACGACAGAGAAAACAAACCTCGAAAAGCTTGTTGATATTCTGTGGAATTGAAATCCTTCGCCTAAGTTATTATGTAAGACATCCTAGAGAAAAAAGGGCGTAAAAACTTTTTCTCGTCAGTCGTACAAGGGCGCCTTCAATTTCACCATAACGCGAACTTACGCAAAGCTAAGGCAACAAGGTTCACGCAGTAATTTACGTGAAACGTGAAAGGGCAAGCTGAAGTTTTTCGTTTCACGTAATCACCATGCTAAATCTCTTCCCGCGGAAAGATTTCTGACTAGTTGTGGAGAAGTTTGCTGGGAGTCTGGCACTAATATCCGTGTTTGACCCCAAGGAGACCTTTCACCGGCTCGCGTTGTTCAAGGTATCATACTTTCTGACTGGCGGACAATTGCTCATGTTAAATCGCTGAAATTTAGGGCCTGCTCGTCGGGTAAAAATGACACAGCCATGCTTTACCTGATATAGAAAGTTGCACTCTCCATCTCCAACTGGTCTCCAAGATCCACATCGAGAACAATACTTTTAGAGCTTGTTGTTGCACTTCGTTAGAACTTCACGCACACGGTTAGGTAAAAACATCAAGCTTACCTTCGCCTTTAAAAGAATTTTGTTTGGAATTGCTTGTCATCTGCAGTATATTGGAACCGCTGGAATGACCACGTTTTGGTTGGTGGAAGCTCAAAGATGATCCAAACGTCTTGTTTCTTAAATATGAAGATCTCAAAAAGGTTTGTGAGTAGTTAGCCGATGCTTTAATGCTCCAGTTTTAGTTTTGTTGGTAAGAACTAGATGGAAAATGAATGACGGGCAAGACAGACCCAATTTGATTACCTGATGGGAAACCGGTACTCTCTCAGCATATCTCCCTAAAGACCTGCCGTGCAAACATTCAAACAAACAAATCTGTTTTATTGATTAGGATCTACTTTCACAAGTTCAATTGACCGCCAGCTTCCTCAACAAACTGCTATCAGAAGATGTTATTAGTCGCATTGCTGAACAATGTAGTTTCAGTGGAATGACGAAAGATCTGTCAAAGTACTCATTAAATGAAGGCAAGGTCTGTCTTCTTTGGAAGGGCGTGGTCGGAGACTGGAAGAATTATTTTACCCCAGAGTTGAATGAGAGATTTGAGAAGGAGGTGCTGTTAAAACTAGAAGGAACTGGATTGGAGTTTGATTTTGAGTTGTAGTCAAATTTTCATAGGCAGGATAACCTCTACCTGGTGAATGTTTGGTTACGAAGATGCAACGCACACATGTCTAACGACTGTGACAAATAAACTGAGAACAAAAATATACTTTTACTTGGTAAGGTCACGTGTCTGGCTATCAGTCTCTTTAACTCCTATTATCGGAGGAAAAGCCACTTAGCTCGGAATTTTAATTCCATAATTAGGATCATTTCACCCCGACTTAAGTCACAACTGCCAAAAATGAAGGAAAGGCTCAATGACCAAAATCAGCGAAGGGTACCTTCGCTCTTTATCGTACAATTAGTGCTTTTTTTACTAAGGGCGTTTTCTTCCATTTAAAAGACAGGATCTATTATTCTCTATGTCTGTTCTGTTATGGATCAAAGATGAGATCAAACCGTGTTACTGAATTAAAAAGTGCCACTCAGCTGGCCGCGAGCGAATGTGTCCCTGATTTTCTTACGTTTCGTCCTCTGTGATTGATTGTTGAATTCATTAAGGACAGTTTTGCCTTCAGGCTAGTGAGTATCGTCTTGTTTTCAAAAACTCGTAACTTGACAATTTTAAATGGAAGTTACCTTGAACACAAAATGACAAACACCGAATTAAATCAGATTTTGACTTCAGAATGATTACAAAGGACAAAATTATTGTCTCAGATGAGCTTAAATGGAAGAAACTGCGAGGACAGAAACATCTCAGAAAATTCATTCTTCGAACGCGCTTCGACAGTGATCAAACTCGTGCCTACCAGTTACAAGTTGGGCGCTACTACCAACAGAATTAAGAAGCCGTATTTTAGGCACAAAGCAAATTTTTCTGCCCAATCATGAGGATCATTCCGTTTTCAATGTTGTGCACAGGGCAGGGCATTATTATCATTATAATCATAAAAAAATAAACAAACAACACACTAAAGAATTGTGTCGCGCCCGCGCTCTCTGTCCTCTTTCCGCTTTCCGCTTTCCGCTTTCCGCTTTCCGCTTTCCGCTTTCCGCTTTCCGCTTTCCGCTTTCCGCTTTCCGCTCATCACAATAGTCCTAGTCAGCGGTCGCCCTGTTCGGGGTGTAAGGCAGAATGATGAGTACCATTGATTCATAGTACGTTGCCTCGCGCGTAGCTGATTATGACGAGTTCTGGAGTTACTGAAGTGAGAGAAGGCGAATGGACATCAGGTCATTTCCGTGAAGTTTTGGACTTGAAAATTCCAGGGTATTTCACATCTGATCCTCAGCTACTAGGCGACTTCAACACAAACTTCCGAACAAGACCAGATGACGTCCTCATAGCTGCCTATCCTAAGTCAGGTGAGTGTAAACGTAACTGCTGATTTGATATTTAATTGCAAAGCTTTGCATTTATCTCACTCTCTTTACACGAGCCCAGGTTGATTTGTGTTATGGTTTGAATCACCTTAGATTGCTAAAAATATACCTTTACGAAAGCGTATATTTTCGCGTGACGGAAATGATCTCGACAAGGGTCACCCGGTGGGCAGGGGTGACCTTAGTTTTTTCTTTTAACGAGAACGCCTTGTAAGAACTTCTTGTAAGAAGACCCATTGCGAGAAAAAATAGTTGACAGATAAGCAGTTCGGTATGTGACGAAAGAAAAAACAGTATGTATATAATAGCATGATGGCAACGTTTGACTCGACTTCAAAGTCGACTTTAATACAAATTTCGCAATCACTTACAGCGTACTTCACTCGTGCTGATGTTTACATTTTGCTTACTTATTACTTCCCAATTGTGCATGGTACATTATAATTGAAATTTACGATTATTCGTCGAGAAACGACTTTTCCAAAGGAGAAACGATTTCATTTCCTCCACAAAATCTACGCGATATTTGCGTGACAACTGGGAACTTTTGGCTTCATAGAGCCGCATATTAAGTAGTCTCCGTCGCAGCCGTTTATTGGAATGTCACGCTTAATGAAATGTCACGCTTAATGGAGTTCGCTAACCCTCATACGCGAACAGCTTTGGAAACATGGCAATAACAACGAGTAAGGCATTTTAATTTCTTTCTACGCAGTTACCAATCTCTTCATCTACAATTTACCTGTATCTATTTCTGTTATCTGACCAATTAAAAAGGCTCAAAACCATACCACTTTGCAGTGGCACATCATAAAGTAACATGCGAGCTCCTGAGGTAAATTCGTCGTGACTACGCTGAAAATTAGGTGTGTGAATTAGAATAATAGGGATTGCTGTGCCGGCATGGTCACTAGCAGCATATGTGCGGAATGGGTTCAACTGTGAAGAGAGAAAGTTAGTTTTTTAACACTTTGAGTATGACCAGTAGGGGTCTCGGAAAACTGTTTTCGGTCTCCTTAAACAAACCAAATTTAAGATCAATTCAGGTAAGTTCACTGATGTTCTGGGCTTAAACGTTCAAGCGTGTATCATCCCATTTGCTCAGTTCTGCCTTTATTTCGAACCCCTAAACAAGACCAGATGATGTATTCATTGCTTCCATGTTACCTCTTATCCTAAGTCTGGTGATTCACCGTATTTTTGTCAATTTTTTCATCATCTTATTCTCCAGAGCGTAAAAAGATAATCCGCAACCGGCTGCTTGGTATGTAGCGAGGTTTGACTCGGTGTTTATTTTTTGGATATAAATTTCCATTCAATTAACGAGACAGTTTCTCTCGATAGTTAACAGTCGACTCTTCGCACTCTTGCCGATTATATGCTCGCGTCAACTCCAACCAAAATCGACCCCAGTTTTCCATAGAAGTCCCTCCTCAGACATTTGCGGTAATTTCGAACCCTCACCAGGGTGAACTTCAGCAGTCACGAGCGGCCAATTTTCGTTCCTATTCAGACAAGTCATTTCTATGCAATTGTAACTGACAACAAAGTAAGGTTTCAACACGCGAACCCTTTAGAATTGATTTACATTACGGTTAATCGTGGTTGCAAGTTACCGTAAAAACCGTAAGCTTCGAATCGGTTCCTCTCACGTTCTTGTTGTAACGCAAAAATCTATGGAAAAACTGCGTTCAATGAAGAAATTCTTGTCAACAAATACCAGAAAAAGATCAATCATATGTCAAAGTTGGTAGAAACGATGTTCAAAGTGCTAGAATTGTGGGACTTTGATATACTTTCCGTTGCAATGTTAATAGTGAGTTTACGTTCGATGAACAGTGGATGAGGAAGACTTCTCAAGACTTGACTTTGGATTTCTTTTGATTCCTTTCATAAAACTTTTTTTTCCAAAATTTGAGCTGCTAAATTCAGGGTGCGGCATATCTTCGGGTTTTTACCAGGCCTGGGTTTTTACTGTATTACAAAATACAAGTAGAAGGACTAGAAAAACGGCAACAACAGAGGAAACGCAATCGGACAAGGAAAGACACTCACAAACGTTGTATGACTTGTGAATACAAAAGACGGAAACATTTAGAGTTGAACGCGGTAAAGAAACGATGTCAACTTAACGGACTCTGATACTCTAAATGTTCAATTTTTACCTAGAAACTTAAACAAATGAAATTAAACATATACATCCCACTTGTTTGAGATCCTTAGTACACGAAGTCTTCGCAAATTGCCAACAATAACGGTGTATCTAAATTTTGGCAAATTGTAAAGGGCTCTAGCGATACAAAACAATCCTACCCTGGTGGATTGGCCTGACTGATATGAGATCTGGCAGCATGGGTTACTTAGTTTGATGACCAGACTTGAACTGCCCAATTAATCAATCAAATCAAAAATCAATAAATCAGATCAACAACGATCACAAATTTCCAAATTGCCATTCTTTCCTTCAGGGACAACATGGATGCAAGAGATTATCTGGCAAATCTACAACAACGGGGAATACACCAGTCAAAAAATTTTGGAACGATTTCAATTCCTAGAATTTTTAACAAGTCCCGGAGTGAGTGACCCTGCGGACATCGCCAAGGTTCCCAGTCCCCGTCTTATGAAGTCCCATCTTTCCTACAACACCATTCCTAAAAGTTCAAGCGACAGCGCTAAATGTAAATATATTTACATTGCCCGTAATCCAAAGGATGTTGCAGTTTCATACTTCCATTTTGTGGAGAGTCTGGCGTCAAGAATTGGCTACAGTGGGCCATGGGAAATTTTTTCCAAGTTGTTTATTGAAGGAAATGGTAAGACTTGGGGAGCCGTGGTAGGATTTTGATTGAGTCACAATACAATTTACGATATCCTGACCCCCCCTTCCCCCTCCCCTACCTTCATTCCCTCTGGAATCCACGTGATCCCCCGAAAGATCCTCCATACCCCCGGAGGATAAATAGTGTCTGACCCCGTAATCCAGTTTAATAGTCTAATTTTCATATTATGGAGTAATTTGAAAGCAAACCTTCAGGCCTCAGTTGTTCAAAGATTGGATAACGCTATCCGACTGAATAAATCTCTATCCAGTGGATAGCGGAGCGTTTTGCTATCACTTATCCGAGGATTCCCTATACCTTTAACGTGAAGCGTGATTGGGAGATTTTTTTCCTCGTGAACCGTGGTTTGATTTTTTTTTTATTCGTGAAGATAGTAAGACCTTTTCATGTCTATGTGAACGAACTTTTTTATTTTAAAGTTACCCGTGAATTGAGAGCTGAATTAATCACGACTCGTGATTGTTTTGCATGATGAATTTCCCGTTTCGCAGGAAATGCCTCAGAGGGTAATTTGAACTCAGTTCACTTACCAATACCAGGCAGGCTGTAATAGCTTTTCTGACAAATGATTGACAAGTTTAACACGTTTGTCAATTTTGGCAAATTTTTACCCGGGACAAATTTTGTCGGCGGTGAGTTTGAAAATTTGTCCGCTCCGGACAAAATTTGTCAGGTCGCGACAAACCGTCCGCACTTTTGAAGCGCTGGTGATAAGAGAAAATTTGTCTAAATAAACAATTTTGTCGCTAGTACGGATAGGCCCTTATGCTTCAAAACAATTGAAATAAGACAGAACGTCATCCTTTGTCGCCAAAAACTTGTTAAGACGAGGAAAACGTAAAAATATCAATTCGACGTGATTGTCTCCAATTTTGTGCGTACGTTGTACGTTGGATATTGTTCGTGATGCGTGAAAAGGCCAAATACTTTCACTTGACTGAGTTTAGCAGAGGAGTACGGGGGACCATCTCATCCGCTGGATAGCAATTTAACCGTTAGATAGTGTGGCGCCATTTAAACAACTGGGCCCGGATTGTCTGGAACTGATATGTTTTAACGTCGACGGAATTACCCTAAATGAAGCGAACCATGCCGCAAATGAACGACGGAGAAAACAAACCTTGAAAAGCCTGCTGATATTCTGTGGAAATGAAATCCTTCGCCTTAAGTTATTATGTAGGACATCCTCGAGAAAAAAGGGCACAAAACTATTTCTCGTCAGTCGTACAAGGCGCTTTCAATTTCACCATAACGCGAGCTTACGCGAAGCTAAGGCAACAAGGTTCACGCTACTTTACGTGAAACATGAATGGGTAAGCTGAAGTTTGTCGTTTCACGTAATCACGATGCTAAACCTCTATTATTAGAGCAGGACGACTTGTGATTCTCTGCCCGCGGAAAGATTTTAGACTAGTTGGGGAGAAGTTTACTGGGGGTCTGGCACTAATATCAGTGTTTGACCCTTAGGAGACCTTTCACTTAATCGCGTTGATGGTGTCATACTTTCTGACTGGCGGACAATTGCGCATGTTAAATCGCTGAAATTCAGGGCCTGCTCGTCGGGTAAAAATGACACAGCCATGCTTTACCAGATATAGAAAGTTGCACTCTCCATCCCAAACTGGTCTCCAAAATCCTTATCGAGAACAATGCTTTTAGAGCTTCCTGTTGCACTTCGTTAGAACTTCACGCACACTGTTAGATAAAAACATCACACTTACCTTCGCCTTTAAAATAATTTTGTTTGGAATTGCTTGTCAATTGCAGTATATTGGAGCCGCTAGAACGACCACGTTTTGGGCTGGTGGAAGCACAAAGATGATCCAAACGTCTTGTTTCTTAAATATGAAGATCTCAAAAAGGTTTGTGAGTAGTTAGCCGGTGTTTTAATCCTCCAGTTTTAATTTTGTTAGTAAGAACTAGATGGGAAATGCACGACGGGCAAGACTGACTCAGCTTAATTACTTGGCAGAAACCGGGACTCTCTCATCTTATTTCCCTAAACATCTCACGTGCAAATATTCCAACGATCAAATCTGTTTTCTTAATCAGGATCTACTTTCACACGTTCAATTGACCGCCAGCTTCCTCAACAAGCCGCTATCAGAAGATGTTATCAGTCGCATTGCTGAACAATGCAGTTTCAGTGGAATGACGAAAGATCTGTCAAAGTACTCGGTAAATGAAGGCAAAGTCCGTCTTCTTCGGAAGGGTGTGGTCGGGGACTGGAAGAATTATTTTACCCCAGAGTTGAATGAGAGATTTGAGAAGGAAGTGCTGTCAAAACTAGAAGGAACTGGATTGGAGTTTGATTTTGGGTCGTAGTCAAATTTTGATAGGCACGATAATCATTGCTTAGTAGATGTTCGGTCATGAAGACGCAACTTACAATTAACAAATGAGACAAAGAAAGAAATAAAAATATATTTTTACTTGGTAAGGTCACGTGTCTGGCTATCAGTCTTTTTAACTCCTAGTATTGGAGGAAAAGCCACTTAGCTCGGAATTTAAATTCCACAATTAGGATCATTTCATCCCGACTTAAGTTATAACCGCCGAAACTGAAGGAAAGGCTCAATGACCAAAATCGGCGAAGGATAGCTTCGCTCTCTACCGCACAATTATAGTTCACCACTAAATTTTCTCGGATTCTTTTTGGTTTAAATAGATCGCGTGACGCGATTGCGTTCATCCGTGGAGAGACACTATCAGCCCTTATAGTTCACCACTAAATTTCCTCCGATTCTTATTGGTTTAAACTGATCACGTGACGCGATAGTGTTCATCCGTCCGCGAAAAATAACCGGATGGATAGTACTCATCCGTGAAAAATTTTGAATGATGTGACGGCCGCGAAGTTAGGCAGATCGGAAAAACAGTGACTTTTCAATTCTGACAGGTATAACGTATTATTTAGCCAATGTACGGTTGCGAGTTATTGACATTTGTGACAGGCTGTACGCATGAATAAATATTTGATTGATCTGCATTTAGTGGGTTTTGATTGTTTTTCAACTGGCGCGCGGAAGAAAATTTAGTGGTGAACAATAAAGACAGTAGAGTGTTTGTGTCCCGGAACTATCGGTCTGATAGTTCCTCCTTGGAAATTTGATATTCTTAAAATTAGCATAAATGCCCTTGAAGCTTCGCTTCTCGGGCAAATATTTGTTTTAAGAACATCAAATTTCCGCGGGGAAACTATCAGTCGATAGTTTCTCGACAGAAACACTCCATCGTTTAAATAGTGCCCGTCCGCGGAAAATACCCGGATGGATAGGACTCATCCGTGACAAATTTGGAATGGTTTGACGCGAAGTTAGGCAGATTCAAAAAATAGGTCCGCAATGCGTACATGTATGGCTTACGAAATTGAGCTTCTTCCTAGTGTCTGATGTCTTATTGAGTTTCTATTAGAAGGGCTAATATCTGATTACGATTAGATAGTTTTTAATATTGTTCCTGTTTACCGATAAAATAAGATAACTGGCATTCAATAATCTTGAAATGTTCATTTTCAAGATGAAGGTTAATGGCCAAACTTTGTTAAAAGGAGGCCTCATTTTGACAACAAAGGTTGCGCATGTAACCTTAAGATCACAGAAAAATTTACTTGAGGTAGGTGGATATGGGGTTGCAAATGGTAGAATCTAGGGAAAAAAGATAGGTGCATAACAAGATCAGAACACAAGCAATATTTTAATGAATCATATGTTAGGTAGTACTCTGAAGTAACATTACTTTAATTTTCAACACAATAAGATTCACAATTTGAGCTGTAGGTTTCATTTCACAGAATTTTCAATAGAGATAAGTGTCACCATGATAGATTTCAGGAACAGTAGTCAGAGACATAACTTAAACACAACAGAGTTCAATGTACAGGCGAGCGCATGATGGTATCATATGATTTAAAGTACAAGAATCTTTCAAGTTTTCTTATTATTGATATTGTTATTTTATGCCAGAGTGTTTCCCAAATTCAAGCTATGTCGAGACATAAAATGAAAAGGTGCACTTGACGTCATCATGTAAATGGTCAACTTGACATGCTATCAAAATTTGTCCTTCAGCTGCAATCTTACTCAGGAATGCAATTTTGTCAGTATCTATCAATCATGATATACCTAAAAAATTCAAGCTTTTGTTTATTTCGGTCAGCTACTATGTAACAATCTGCACAACCTACTTCGTGTAACTCTGAATGGTGTGTGATCTATTGTTGCTGAGCCTACCAGTGGTTTACATTTGTACTTGAGTAATTACTTTTGCACTAGTGATACATGGAAAAGACACCTAACTGTTTTCAGCCAATCAAGAGTGTATATCAGTATTGAGCCTCTCTATGGGTATTTCCGAAGAAATCGTAGACGCGAAGATCAACACGGAAAAAACGAAGATCTCAAGATTGAAGCGAAGATCTGAAAATTGACCAATATTTGCGTGATCATATTGAACACTGACGTATAAAACTGTCAAAACTCGTAAACACCACAGAAAATATGTTATTTCTGGCATGATGCCATTACAAGGCTGAAAACGACAAAAATAGTCCACTGATAATGTGATTATTGATGACATTAATGACGTCGATGAGAACCCACTATAACCAATGGATTCAGTTTCATTCGTATCATGTCGGTCGTGTCGCTGATCTTTTAAGGTTACTTCCCACCTTCGCGAGTGTCCTTCGTGGCAAAATTCGCACGCGCTTAGTTTCAAGAAAACCCAGTTTACGATAAAAATTAAATTTAGGCGATCTTTTCATTTAGGGAGTGTCAGGAGCCGGTAAGGCGTGAAACGACCGAGGGCCCTTCCATTGAATTTATCGGGTATAGGATCCCGCAGCACGAGCAAAATGGCTGCACAGTCTTATTCATAAGGCATCAATCAACAAATGTGTGTTAGGCTTTTCAGATATTCTGGTTGGTTGTCTAGATATCCGCATCTTAATGCACTAGTAAGTGGAAAGCCCCGCACCCCCATACCCAGGGAATAGCTGGGCATTAGACAAGGCCTCCCAACTAAATGAAGCAAATTCCCCGCTAATCGGGGCAATTTCTTATGTCAAAACCTCATTTTTGTACCCCGCCCCCGGGGCATTACTTGAAAAATCACAAATACACAACGTCGACCAAAATTAATTTATTTCAAGAATTGTGCCTCAAATTGAACTCTTACAAAAACTTTTTAGATGTTTTCAAAAAATAGATGAAACAATCATGGCTTCCTCTACTCCTCTTGGTAAGACATAGTTCTGTGAACTTTTCTTTGGACGTGTAAATGAATAAACTGAATACGGTGATTCAAGCAACGCATCAACACAAAACAAATTAAAGATACACCCGAAATTGTAAATTGAGCAATAACTTCCTTTAAAATTCGCTAAAACCACTCCTAAAACGGTAATATCAATTAAATGGCTTAGCTATACCCGAACACGAACTGAAGTAAATACTAGATTCTTAGACATAACAAGTCCCAACATACATTTGACATACAACTACATCTACAATAAGCCAGCAGGCGGTTGAATAATCCCAAATAATGGTAGCTTACACACTACTGTGTTTGAACAAATGCATCATTACATGTAGAAGTTCCAATGTGTATATTTCAGACATCATTTGCAATGTGTTTGAATGTCCTTTTGTGTGAGAATAAATTGAACAGTTTGGAGATATCACTTTTAGGACATTTTAACTGAATGAGTTGTTGGATTCACATGTATTGCTAATACCGTATACCCGTGTATAATACGTACTTTTTTTCTGTCAAAATAACCATCAAAGTTGCGGTGCGTATTATACAAGGGCTCCATTGTTTCTCGGGCACGTCGTAATTTGCACGTCCTTAATTGATTGTTTATTACTTTTGTATCATTTTTGGGTACGAATAAAGTTGATGTTGTTGTTGTTGTTGTTGTTATTGCCTAGGCCTCGCCTAAAGCCCTAAAGTTTGGTTTCAAGATAGCTATAAATAACAACGTTCCAAAAGGTGTTAGTATTAACGATATAGCTAATTTCTTGTTCTTGTCGTCTTAAATAATTGTACGAAGATTTAATTTTTCTTTTCCACTGTGAAAGCCTTTTTCTTCAGATAAATTTGGTTAAAAACAAGGGTTCGTATTATACACGGGTGCGTATTATACACGTGTAAATACGGTAAGCCAAATTTTCATTTCATATTCTACAAATGCTTATCTGTTGCTGTCTTCACGGTCGGGACATATGGCCGTACCTATTTGTATTTGCTTTATTACTAAACGTTCTCACCAGATGACTGACTGAGATCTACACAATGGAGCGCCTAAAAGCTAAAATGTACTGTATTATTACACCGTCTGCCTTTAATACAAGTATACTGAACTGATGTTTATAACTAAAAGATGTGAGGGAAAACTGAAAATCGATCCGATCCAACACAGTGGGTATAGAGGATTAGAGGTACAGTGGGCACAGAGGACCAGTGGAACAGTGGGAAAAGAGGACCAGTGGGTATAGAGGACAGGAGGAGCAGTGGGAACATAGGACCAGTGGGTATAGAGGACAAGAGAAACAGTGGGAACATAGGACCAGTGGGTACAGAGGACTACAGGAAAAGTGGGAACATGGGACCAGTGGGTATAGAGGACAAGAGGAACAGTGGGAACAGAAGACAAGAGGAACAGTGGGCACAGAGGACCAGAGGAACAGTGGGAAGAGAGGACCAGTGGGTATAGAGGAACAGAGGAACAGTGGGAACAGAAGACCAGAGGAACAATGAGCGCAGAGGACCAGTGGATACAGAGGACCAAAGGAACAGTGGCAACAGAAGACTGGAGGAACAGTGGGAACATAGGACCAGTGGGTACAGAGGACCAGTGGAAAAGTGGGAACTTAGGACCAGTGGGTATAGAGGACAAGAGGAACAGTGGGAACAGAAGACCAGAGGAACAGTGGGAACAGAGGACCATTGGGTATTGAAGACCAGAGGAACAGTGGGAACAGAGGACCATTGGGTATTGAAGACCAGAGGAACAGTGGGAACGGAAGACCAGAGGAACAGTGGGCACAGAGGACCAGTGGGTATAGAGGACCAGAGGAGTAGTGGGAACAGAGGACCAGTGGATCAGTGGGAACAGAGGACCAGTGGGTATAGAGGACAAGAGGAACAGTGGGAACATAGGACCAGTGAATATACAGGACAAGAGGAACAGTGGAAACATAGGAGC